GCCCCCCTCCATTAAGTTCTTTTTTAAACTCTAGTTTTTGTGTTTTTTAAAAAAAAATTAATTTACTTATTTATTTTTGGCTGTGTTGGATCTTCGTTGCTGCAAATGGGCCATCTGTAGTTGCGGTGAGCGGGGGCTACTCTTTGTTGCCATGCACGGGCTTCTCATCGCAGTGGCTTCTCTTGTTGAGAAGCACAGGCTCTAGGCGTGCTGACTTCAGTAGTTGTGGCACGTGGGCTCAGTAGTTGTTGCTCGCGGGCTCTAGAGCCCAGGCTCAGTAGTTGTGACACGTGGGCTCAGTTGCTTCTCAGCATGGAGGAGCAAACCCGTTTCCCCTGCATTGGCAGGCGTATTCTTTTTTTTTTTTAAAGGGAACCCTCTGACACTGTTGTTGGGAATGTAAATTGGTGCGGCCACTATGAATTTATTTATTTATTTATTTATTTATTTATTTATTTATTTATTTATTTATTTATGGCTGTGTTGGGTCTTCGTTTCTGTGCGAGGGCTTTCTCTAGTTGTGGCAAGCGGGGGCCACTCTTCATCACGGTGCGCAGGCCTCTCACTGTCGTGGCCTCTTGTTGTGGAGCACAGGCTCAGTAGTTATGGCTCACGGGCCCTGTTGCGCCGCGGCATGTGGGATCTTCCCAGACCAGGGCTCGAACCCGTATCCCCTGCATTGGCAGGCAGATTCTCAACCACTGCACCACCAGGGAAGCCCTGGCAGTCGTATTCTTAACCACTGCACCACCTGGGAAGTCCCCCCCCATTGAGTTTTTTTTTTTTTTTAATATATATATATATATATATATATATTTTTTTTTTTTTTATTTTATCCCCATTGAGTTTTGATGACACTTAGTTCATTTGATTAGTCCTGAAGCCTGGGGATGATGTGTACAGTGAAAGTACTGAAGATTTGGCCAAACAACACATACTTGCTGTAATATTTGACCAGTAAAACAGGTCCCTTGGTTGCTGTGGAGCTCAAGAGGGGTTCATCAGGTAGGGATATTTTTTTCCAGTAAGTTTTAGCTACTGAAGAGGCAATAGTCTGTCTATGTGGGAAAGCTTCAGTCCAGTGGGAAAACATACAAATCATTACCAAGACGTATTTGTATCCACGGGGTGAGGATAGTTGCATAAAGTCCATTTTCCAACTCTAATGGCAATTTAAAGTGTTTGGGGGCAGTGCGGACAGGTTTCCCCGGATTATATGTTGAACAGGTGGGGCTTCTGTAGGGGGTACAGAGATAATTAGAGGGGATCCCATGATTATTTTTTTGGTGGCCTTAACTAAAAGGACAGTAGCAGGAATGACTCTAAGGCAAAAGGGGTATCCTTGTGCCCAGGGTCTAGCTGCCAACTCTAGTACCCTATGGGGTGATGGTGATCCCCATGCTTTTGGGTAAGTAAGTGCTTCTCTCCTTCTCTTGTATGAAGAGGAAAAAGGGAAGTTGATCAGCAGTAGGGAGATTTATCAAGCTTTCCTTTAATGTATTAAAAGCTCGATCATTTGATTCATCCAGTTGGCTGTTTTGGTTGCTGCTATCAAGTTCTAGATTTATTGTCTCCTTTTGGCAGAAATGCCAGCATGACATTTTTTCTAAGGAATCTTGGCCCAATAAATGAACAGGGATAGAGGGACTAAAGAGAAAAGGGTATCTATCTCTTAGCCTAAACCAAAGGAGATAGGTTAACAGACAGGAACCTGGGGAGGTTTATTTTGAGACCCCCCCCCCCCACTGAACCATTTTAATCCTCTGAGTCAGGGGCTCTTGAGTAACAGGTTGAGCCCCAAGACTGTAGCTCTGGTGTCAGTGAGGATGGAGGGACTCATTCCCAAGCTGGAGAGTGGTTTCTCTAAGTTGATTGAGGGGAAGGATTGGGGAAAAACCCTGTAATTCCCTGGGAATTGGGGAAGCTGGTTAGAGGATTGAGGGTGCCTGGTGCACTTAAGCTTGTGACAGTCTTTCCTTCAATGTCCTGGCTTTTTGCACTAATGGCAAAGACCAGGAGGGTTTGTGTTTCATTTAGGGGCCTCTACTTGGTGGAGTTGAAAATTGAGGATTTTAGTGGTCGGTCTTTTAGTTGAATCATCTGTGGTGCCGGTGAGTTGATTTGCTGAATTAAATAAATCTGGAGTGGAAATAATTTCCCATTCCATCCTGGTCCTTTTAACTAGAAGAGAAAGATCCCTATTCAACCCATTAATGAACATAGAGTTAAAGGCTACCCCAGGGGCCAGCAAAATTGAATTTGTTTGGGAATAACAGAGAAATTACAATTTGGGACATGCAAACTATGGTAAACTTATAGACGTGTCTGGAGAAGGAAGGTCAGGAGTGTTCTTTTTACAGCGGAATGGAGGAAGTTGGGAGGGGCTGTTTTGAATGAAAGTTCATTGGAGGAGAATGAGAATTCAGGGTTGTGGTGGCTTCTCATTGGCTGAGTTGCAGTGGTTTCTCATTGGCTGGGCTGTTGTTGGCGAGGAAGAAGTCTTTCTTCCTGCTGAGGAATGTAAGCTGGTATGTGCTTGAGAGCTCTCCCTTCAGGGCTTCCAGTCTTCATTTTGCATGAGGTTTTTCTTTTATTTGTTTTCACAAGTTCTAAGATTATTTCAGGCTGGAGTCCTTAGGTGTCTCTCCCTATAGAGTGGTTCTGATAACTTACAGCTTTGCTAAATCTACCTGTAGCTCTTCTGGGGCTTTTCCCCATTGATATTCAAGATGTTTATGGGTTTGTTTTTTTGTGAAGTGCGACCAAGGAGAGTATTCCTTTTTAAATTAATCATTAATGGATACATATTCCCCAGTTTTTTTCTGCTTTGAAGAATCTTCTTCATTTTCTCTCTTGATCTGCCAACATGTTCAGAACCTTCCTTTAGCTCTTTGAGCATATTTGACAGTTATTTTAAAGTCTTTGTCTAGTAGGTCTGAGTTCCTCAGGTATATCTCCTGTTTCTCTGTACGCCTTGTGATATTTTTTTGTTGAAAACTGGACATGTGAATCTTATATAGTCATCCCCCCTTATGTGCAGGGGATACGTTCCAAGACCCCCAGTGGATGACTGAACCTGCAAGATAGTACTGAACTCTTATATATACTATGTTTTTTCCTTTACATACACACCTGTGATAAAGTTTAATTTATAAATTAGTCCCAATAAAATATTAACAGTAATAATAAAGTGGAGGGCTTCTCTGGTGGCGCAGTGGTTGAGAGTCTGCCTGCCGATGCAGGGGACACGGGTTCGTGCCCCGGTCCGGGAAGACCCCACATGCCGCGGAGCGGCTGGGCCCGTGAGCCATGGCCGCTGAGCCTGCGTGTCCAGAACCTGTGCTCCGCAACGGGAGAGGCCACGACAGTTGGAGGCCCGCGTACTGCAAAATAATAATAATAATAATAAAGTGGAATTATAATAATATTGTGTAATAAATATGTGAATGTGGTTTCTCTCACAAAATGTCTTATTCTACTGTGCCCATTCTTAGGATGATGATGTGAGATGATAAAATGCCTATGTAATGAAATGAAATGAGGTGAATGACAGGCAGTGTGACATAGCATTAGGCTACTATTGACCTTCTGACACTGTGTCAGAAGAAGGATCATCTGCTTTGGGTGATCCTGGATCACTGAACATGATGTTGATGGATAGATGTTGAGAGCAGAAGATGTTTTTGGTTGGGAATACCGGGCAGGTTGGAGCGGGATGGTGTGAGATTTTATCACACTATTCAGAATGGTGTGCAATTTAAAAGTTATGAATTGCTTATTTCTGGGATTTTCCATTTAATGTTTTCGGGCTGCAGTTGACAGCTGTTAACAAACTGTGCAGAGCCAGACCATGGATAAGGCAGGGGACTACTGTAGTGTGGTAGCTCTGGAAATCAGATTCTCCTTCTCAGATTTTTTTTTTATTGTTTGTTGTCGTCTCTCTGCCAGTGATCAGTCTGTGGTGAATGCTTAGACTTTTCTCAGGTCTTTTCTGAGCCTGTCTTTCCCTGGGCAGAGGCAGAGGCTTTCTAAATTCTCCCATACATGTGGGGATGGTTCAGGTGGTAATGCGAGCAGTGGGGAGCGATGGGGAACGATAGATGAAGCTTCGCTGCTCACTCGCCGCTCACCTCCTGCTGTGCAGCCCGGTTCCTAAAAGGCCGTGGACTGGTACTGGTGTGTGGCCCAGGGGTTGGGGACCCCTGCTTTAAATCCCCTGGGAGCCACTTTAGCCAGTGGGGGTAGTTGGAAGAATGGTCACTCACCTCTGTGTCTGCTCTTCCTTCTTGATCAGAAGCAACCATCCACAGTCAGGAGCTGGGACCCTGGTATTTGGAGGAAAAGGTCTTTATTGCCCACCTTGGCTCCAGCAAGTCAAACTAGAAATGTTTGGGCTGGCTCATGGGGAATGGGTAGCTGCTACTCTGCTAAAGGCTAAAATCCACCACTGTTCGTTGCAGTTTACCACTTAAGATTTCCCCTGGACACTACAAGCCTTAAAATAGACTCCTGTGTTCCAAATAATCACTTTAGGTACTTTCTGCCAGTACAGTTGTTGTCTAGGTGGAGAGATGGCTTCCTGGCGCCTCCTACTGCTCCATCTTCCCTGACATCAGTCCATGTCTTTGATTTTTATCCTTTTTGGAAGCTGTTGTCAACTTTTATCTTCCAGCTCTGCTACTAAATGTTTTGAATGTTTTATTTTTGTTGTCATATTTATATTTCCAAGTGCATTTTCTGATTCTCTGCTTACTCCTTTTTTTAAAAAATCGTATTCTGTTTGTGTCATGGGTGAAATACTCATTTCTCTGAGGATGCTAATATGGTATCCTTTAGTGTTACCGCTCCCTTCATTATCTTTCCTCTGAGTTGTTTTTACTTGTTTTCTCTCTTTCTCCTTGGAGTCTTTCCTCAAACTTCTGGTGATCTTTGACTACTCACATTTAAGAAGAGGGCTCTAAAACACCACTTGGAAGGTGTTTCAGTTACTGTGGCACTGTCCATTAGGAATAGAATGTGAGCCACGTAATAATTTCAGATTTTCTAGTAGCCACTCTAAAAAGGTAAGAGGAGACAGGTGAATAATATAATTTGTTTTACCCAGTATATCCATAATATTATATCAACATATAACCAGTATAAAAAATTATTGGTGAGGTATTTTATATTATTTTTTTGCACTGTCTCCAAAACCCATGTGTATTTTACAGTTGCAGCACATCTTAGTTCATACACTTAATTTTTATTTGAAATACTTGAGCCATATTGAGATTAATAAAACTTAGAGCTGAAAAGTAGATTTACATAGTTCTTCCAAATGCACTTTGTTGTTAGTCTACATATACCTAAATTTTTCAAGTATCAGAAAATTATTTTCCTTCGATATTTGCATCCACATTTACAAAGTTGTTCATCTTTTTATCGGAAGAATTGATTTGATTTTGAAACAAAAGCATATAGTTTGAAAGCAATATCTGTTTAAATAAATTCAGCTCTTCTGTCAACTCTGTTACTACCATTAAATTCAATGATGTATTGCATAAATGGAAACAAAACTAAATTTATCAGTATCAACCATTCTTCACATTTTTCTTGTATTTTTCAGCCAATTTATACAATGCTATTGATTACATTGACAATTTGCATGTTGACTCATGTTAGAAAAATGTGTAAAGTCATTATTTTTTGTTTATATTGTGAAATGTTTCAATTTTAACTAATTTTTCTCACCTGAGTAGGTCACAAGTTTTTCCCACTCTAAGAAGCTTCAAGTGTAGCTCACTCATATTCAGTGTGATACTGCCACTTTTTGTCTTTGATTTTCGAATACTTAGCAGTCATTCATTTCATTTCAAGAAAATCTTGAATTGGAATTCCCAGTACAGGAAATCTTTGTAAAATTCTTTTATGATTCAACCAAGGAGTATCAGTAAAGAACACAAGATCATTAAAAACGTTATTTTCAACAGTTTCATAAACTAGCAATGATTATATCATTTGCACACATGTACGGAAGAATTTTAACATCTGTATTCATGTCTGTCTTCTTGGAGTCTGCTTCAGAAAACTGAACAGATATTTTCAATAGTTACCATATAGTGGAACAAAGCAATGAGGGAAATACCATTCTCTTGCTTTAAAATTCCAGTATATCTGTCTTTGGACCTAACACAGCTTCAGTCTTATCTTTATGATAGAAACGAATTTTTTTCTCTAGCTGAAATTTCTTCTTTATCAGGTGGAAAACTGTCAAAAATATCTGTCATGAGTTTGAGTTTTTAGACAATGAATTGACATTTCTTTATAAATTTTGATGTTCTTTGAGACAGAATGTACTCAAAGTTTTCAGTTGGCAGTGTCTTATATTACACACCTAAAGCTAAGTACTTGAAATTTTTCTAATTTTGAACCAATTGATCTTTGATATTACAAGAAATTTCTTGTCTTCTGTGAGCAAAATTAGAAGGTTAAGTAAAATTTTCAATTTTTATGTGTCTTTTAAAGTCTTCCTCATAATTTTCTAACTAGATTATCATAATTAAAATGGTCATTTCTTTTATCATCTCTCCATCGAAGATTCTTGTGTGTGTGTGTGTTCGTGTGTGCACACATGCAAGAATTCAAACCATTTTATAGCTGGCCAAGTATAAGCTTGAAATCCTGGTAAAAATTGTTTAAAAAATTGTTTAAATTTTTTGTTGGAAATGTAATTCTCATTTCATAGGACTTATTTCGTGGATTCTTTTTTGACTATTGGGAGAATACTTATCACTAAACTGTTGCTGAAAAAATGAAATAACTATTAGCTGCTGTCTTAAATATTGTCTACTGTATTGAACACTTGTGTACAACAAACAGCCTTCTCATTTTCCTGTGCCTGCAGTGAGTTGCATTTGCTACTCATCATCGAATGTGCACTGTACCCTCTTGCACTCTTTTTCTTTGCTGTACTCGTTGTGGTACTAGCTTCTGTATTGCACTGAATTCTGCCTCATTAATATGCCTTCATTAAAAATCTAAATATTTTTCCATATTTTTAATCTAGATAATTTTATTATATTACAGTTAAAATAATAAGTATCTCAATTTATGATTATGGTTTACATATAGGTGTCACTGTAATTTGTGCTGTCTGCATAGGTGTTCTTTAACTTGTACTATCTACATAAAATATCCAAGTAGACACATTGTGATGTTACTTCAGTGCATAGAAAAAAATCATCTGAACTGAATCAGTCTGTTGATACTGACTAGATTGGTGAAGTGTTTATCTGTAATACTAGAAGTCATGCACGTTCCTGTACAAGCATTACAATACAACAGCAACGTCCTGTGCCGTGCAACAGTTAAAGTGAATTGTAGTTCTACCAAAACAATAAAGTTGTGTTTAATGGAAAAATATTTACTCTGCCTCAGTTTTTTAAACCTTGAAATGTGGCACTCCATCCGTATTTCCAGTTCTTAGTCGCCTTAAATGGCTACTATATTGAACAGTACAGAGTTGGAGTACGCAGTGAGCCACAGAGAACCCAACAAATCAGAGTGACGTTAACTCAGTACAAGTTTATTTCCCAGTCAGACTTCCACCTTTTTCTTTCCAACATTTTGTAGTCATGTCATCTGGAACATATGGCCTCCAAGGTCCCAGAGACAAGGAAAGCAAGACCTGGAACATTATACAATGTTTCTAAGCACTGGCCTGGAAAAGCTTAGAACCTTGGGTCCCATTTTGGTGCAAAGGTGTCCCAGGGCACTGTAGAGAATTCACAGGGGCTTCCTAGGATATTTTAAGTTTTAGGGAAACAGCTCTAATTACTGGACATGGCACCAACTAATACTATTATGTTGCTTGGACCTAACTATTTAGCAAATGGAACTGTCAGGTATTTCTTTTAGCCCAGGGACACTGTGAGAAAAGGATTGTGCTACTAAGGATGCTGTAACCAAGAAAGTTTGGGAACCTCTGGCTTAGAAATCACTTCTACTCTTCATTTGGCCAGACATCAGTCATATGAACCTCAGCTAACTGCAAGGGAGGCTGAGAAATACAGTTTTCCCCTTGTGAGCACATGCACTGCTTCTGCCCCAGTCTGTCCTGATAACCACACCCCTTCCTTCTTCCCACACATGTTGTACATACTTTCCCCAAGAGAGACAGTCCGAAGTCTGATTCGATCCATGTTCCCAGCTCAAAGTCCAGGGTCTCTGGGTTGGAAGTTTGAGTCCATGGGAGCAGGGACTTAGGTCAATTTGTGGGCTTCACAGAAGGGTGATGGGGGTGTTCACTTAGATTTTGCCTTTGGGACCCTAAATGTCAGTGTCTCTCAGTCCTTGGAGCACTGTTATTTCTTCAGAAGGGTCTACAGTTTTTCTAGGGAAGGACTTAAGCTTCCAGGCGCCATAAGCCTGGCTATTTTTCTGGAACAGGTGGAAGAAAGCTGCATGGTAGTATGGGGTTGGAGTTCACCCGTATACAGAATTCCACTTAATCTGTATTCAGCCTTATGTCCTCCAGGGCCAGGGTCCCCAAGTTAAAAGCCTCTCAAGTTCTCTTTGGTGAAAGATGATACCTCAGATTTCTATGGGGGTGAAATTTTCATAGGGTGATGGACAGTCCCTGACCATGAAGGGTGGGAGTGGCATCTGGGGCTTGAACCGCTCTTATGCGTGTTTTCAAGCACGTTCTCTCCTTTGAGTCCCTGATTTCCTCCACCTTGTGAATCGTCTGGATCTCATCAGTACCTTTTCGGAAGGCAGTCGTGGCTTTTTCTCCTGGTCAGTAAAATTCTTCCAAACGGTATATGTCTTCAAATATTATTGTTTGGGCTTACATATGTCTCTTAATTTTTATATCAGGTTTATTGAGATGGAATTTACATAAAATTCACTTTTCAGATTTTGTCAATCTACTACAATTGACAAAAATGTAAGTAAAGTATATAACATGATGATTTGATATACATTGTGAAATGAGTCCACACATCCATCACCTCACATATTTACATTTTTTTTTTTTTGTCAAGAACATGTAAGTTCTACTCTCTTAGCAAATTCCAGCTATACAATATAGTGTTAAAAACTGTAGTCACCATGTTATCCACTAGATCCTCTGACCTTATTCATCTTATAACTCAGTTACACCTTTTGATTAACCACTCCGTATTTTACCCAACCCTGGCAACCACTTTTCTACTTTCTACTCTATGCATTCTTTTTTTTTTTTTTTTGAGTCCACATGTAAGTGGTACTATACAGTGTTTTTCTCTGATTTATTTCACTTAGCATAATGTTCTCCAGGTTCATCCATGTTGCTGCAAATGACAGAAGTTCCTTCTTTTTTTAAGTCTGAATAATATTCTATTGTGTGTGTATGTGTATGTGTGTGTGTATATATATATATATACACACACACACACATATATATGTATATATATGTATATATATACATACATATATATATATATATACACACACACACACACACACACACACACACACCACATTTTCTTCACCAATCCATCTGTTGATGGACACTGAGGTAGTTTTGATACCTTGGCTATTGTGAATAATGCTGCAAAAAACCACCTCTTTAAATGTCACCATTTTACATTCCACCAGGAGTGTATAAGTAAATTGGTAAAATCATTGTTTCATCTTTTCACCATCACCTGTTATTTTCTGTCTTTTTTATTACAACATTCTACAGCTTCCCCTAAATTTTTCTTAAAAATTTTTTTGGGGGAGCTGTGACGCGTGGTTTGTGGGATCTTATTACCCCGACCAGGGATCGAACCCGGGTCCACAACAGTGAAAGCCCATGTCTTAACCACTGGACCGCCAGGGAATTCCCCCCAATTTTTGTTTCTTATCATCTATATTGTTTTGGATTTTCCAGAGGAGAAGGCAGAATTCTTTACTACCTTAAAATTGGAATCCCTGTAGATCTTGCTTAACCTTTTCAGTGGGGCTGCTAAAATCTGTCATTGGTGATATCCTGCCTGGTTCTTACCAGGGAATGTCTATGGAATGTTGACCACCACTTTGCTATCAAGATTTCACTGAAAAAGATTTGTACACCTGGGATATACACCAGTTCACAGAACATAAACTAAATGTCTGAGTTGTAGAATAATAGCACATGCCGGCAAAAGTCGTATTTTCTTGATGCAGTTGAGTTATATCAAGTCCAGTTAGCTACCTGGCAGCAGTTATGGATTTGCCATAAGCATCAGGCTAAAATATTGTGGCAAAAGTTCTAAATGCATTAATCTGAAATACTGTATTCAAAAGAGCACTGTTTTCTTTAATACTTTATTTCAGAAATGCACAAATTGTGCATAGATTGATAGGTGTAGTTAAAAACTGTCCAGAACTCCAGCAACAACCAATCAAAAATGTAATGGAGGGACTTACCTCGTGGTGCAGTGGTTAAGAATCTGCCTGTCAATGGAGGGGACACGGGTTCGAGCCCTGGTCTGGGAAGATCCCACATGCTGCGGAGCAACAAAGCCCGTATGCCACAACTACTGAAGCCCACGCGCTCTAGGGCCCATATACTGCAACAAAGGGTAGCCCCCCCCCTCGCCACAACTAGAGAATGCCCGCACGCAGCAAAAAAGACCCAACACAGTCATAAATAAATAAATAAATAAATAAATTAATTGATTAAAAATGTAACGGAAAAAACGAACAGATGAGTCTAGATGTGGAACCATGTTATTAATAGATTGTAAAGGAAAGATGGAATATTCCATAAGTGGTGTATGAAAAACTAGCTTGTCTCTTGGAAAAAATTACCTATCTTACTGTTGGGCCCAAAATAAATTCTGAAGAGAGATTTAGATGGGCATGGGGGAAACATGAAGATCTTTTTCTTCCTGTCTCCTCTTAAGGTGAAATATATCAGTGCCCACTTGGGAGGCTTCCCTACGAAGAATGGAACGTGTGATTGTGGATCTTACAGATGTTGGCCTTTCTCTGGCTGTTTATTGTACTTCTTTCTCCCTACAAGTAAGCCAGGAGTCCATAGCACTTTGGTAGCAAGGAAGCTCCTGTCTTGTGGCCTATATTTTGTACTGGACCTATTTTTCTTCTTTTTAAAAGTTAACTTTATTGACGTATAATTTATATACAATAAGATGCATGCATTTAAATGTACTGTTTAATGAGTTTTGACACATGTCCACCCTTATGTCATCCCCATCCAAACAGAACATTGAAATCACCCCAGAAAATTCTCTTTTGCCCCTTGGCAGTCAATCCCAATCCCCTATTCCCTGCTCCATCACAGATCTAACATAAAAGCTAAAAGGGTAAGACTTACAGAGTAAAAATATGGGAGAAAAATTTCATGACCTACAGATAGGTAAAGATTTCTTAGGTGAAAGACTAAAAGCACTTAACCATCAAAGAAAAAATGGTAAGTATTATCAAAATTTAAAATATATCCTCTTGGGAATTCACTGGCAGTCCAGTGGTTAGGACTCTGCACTTTCACTGCCAGGGCATGGGTTCAATCCCTGGTCGAGGAACTAAGATCCAGTGAGCCACACAGGGAGGCCAAAAAAAAAAAAAACTAATATATATATATTTATAATATATATGTGTGTATATATGTATATAGATACGTACATGCTCTTGACTTCTGGTTTCTGGTCCAGCATGTATTGCGCTTGGGTGTCATCAGTCTGTCCTAACAACAAGAAAAACATTGAGCATAAAAAATCAATAACTCTTGAGATCCAGCAGAGACCTTAGGTCACGGGGTAAACCACTGCCCCCAGAGTGGGGGAGTCAGACAGATACCGAGAGTCACAAGCTACTGGGGTAGAAGCCTTAGAACAGAACCCACCACGGGACCCAGTGCCGGGGCAGGAACCCTTCACCTGGAGCTGACACGCTGCTGGAGGCTCAAACTTGTGGACAAGTTCGAGAGGTAAAAACACCAGGGGGTGCCCAGCCTTAGGGGTGACCCCACCTTTTCCTGAGTTTTTTCTCATGCATATGTTATTTCCTCCATATGGGAAGGGGACACAGAAGCACAGGGACTTTAATTTTTTTAATTGAATTTGTAATAGTGAATAAATTTGTTCATTAGATTCAGAATTCAAAAAGCACAAAAGTGTAGTTTTTCTCTTATCCCCCATCTTTCAGGCACACCTCAGTTCTTGTTATTACATCTTTCCAGAGGTTTTATACACACACGCACACAATCGCACTTTTCTCTCTTATTTTTTCCTTGTACTCCAATTTGATCCCTCCTCTATTTGGTAGCAGAATTGATCAACAGAACTGACATTTTCATGATACTGAATCTCCCAGTCCAAGAGCATGGTAACTTCCATATGTTCAGTCTTCTTTTGTGTTTCTTAGTCATGTTTCAAAGCTTTCTTCATAATAATCTCTCACATTTTTGTTGGCTTATAAAGATTCCCATATGTTATCTTTTTTTGTAGCTGTTGTGAGCGATAGATTCCTTCCTTGGTCTGCCACATTAGACCTGCCCGCAGAGGACCAATGGGGGCTCCCCTGAGTCCGTGTACATCAGCAATGGTTATTTCTCCTTGTGTAACCATAAGCCATAGGGGTGGTGATCTTGACTTCAAATTCACTGATTTCTGCAGGGAGGTAGCTAACACTTACTGAGTACCTAATATATGCCACGTGTTATGCTGGTGTTTTAAATAAATGTATAATATGTATGTGAAGCAGATGTTACTGTCCTCACTTTACAGATGAAAAATCAGAAGTTCAAGGTCACAGAAGCAGTAAACTTTTGGACTCGAGAGCCATTAGTTTCTACCATAACCCTGAGGGAACTATAGCAGGCAGTAAGTTCACTTGGCCATTGTTCAATATGAAATTTTCCCTCTCTCTTGCTAATTATATTCCACTTAAATGTATTTTATTAGGTAGATCAGATGCATTACAATGAATGTTTTTTAGATCATGAAGACAGCATACCTTTTACTAAATGATTATAAAGAAACTAAGTAATCATCCAAATGATTTCTAGATTCCATGTGTCATTTTTGTTCATGCTTTCACTATTGCTTCCCCAAATTCTCTCAGCATTCCCATAAATGCAGCTGGCATGCTTTCAAATCCTTCAGTGATATGTTCATGGTACTGGATTTTACCCTGTATCAAAACAACAACAAACATAATAGATTAATTTCATATTCTAAATTATATACTCTTCTCACTGTAGCAACAAATTTATCAGTACATCATGGGAAACTTGGAACTAGGAAGTGGAGAGCCTGTCCTCTTTGAACTTATAGTCATTTGGGGGGCATGACCCACATACACAGTGTATGTAACAGATTACAGCACACATAAGAGTTTAATAATAGGCGTCAGATCACAGCATAACAATACGAGAAATGTCACAAGGAAGCAATTAACTAATTTCTAAGTAAATTGAACAAAAAATTTAATAATGTAATGATCTCAGAAGAGGCGGAAGCATATGGAGCAGGGGACATCCTTGCAGGGTATCATCTGTGTTCATCTTTCCAGTAGCCCAATGCTGTAGCATCATTACCTCTATTTGACCCCTGAAGAGGCAGAACCTGTTCAGGAAATGTAAATACGATGGCAGTCTAAAAATATGTCTTCCCTTCAAGCCAAGATTTGTTCAGTAAGTGTTTAACATTCATTTAGGAGTGTGGGAGGGAAGAGTTCATTTAGTGAAGAAGGATTTTCATTTCTCTTTTTTCTACAAGGCACAGTCTACTAAATAGAACTAATTCACATTCTCACATTATTTTAAAGAGGTCTTATGTGGAGACCTAAGTCACCTTATACTATTTTTCCCTAATATATCCAGTGATGGTTTAGCATCCTTTGTGGATTTATGGAGGGACTATTTATTTGCTTGAGGTCACTCAACTAGTATGTAGGGAAGCTGGGATTTGAACACTTAACCAACAATAGAAAGCCCCAGCTCATTCCTGTGCTTGAAGAGGCCAAGAACCTGGAAAGGGTCAAAAGCTATAATCAAAAGTTTAGAGGTTAAAAGTAGAGGGTGAATACTAATATAAAATGTTAATAATATGGGAAATTAGGATATAATAGAATACAGGGTATATGGGAACTCTCTACTCTCAGGAATTTTTCTGTAACTCTAAAACTATTCTAAAATAAAAAGTGTATTAAAAAAGGGGGGAGGGGGCTTCCCTGGTGGCGCAGTGGTTGAGAGTCCGCCTGCTGATGCAGGGGACACAGGTTCGTGCCCCGGTCCGGGAAGATCCCACATGCTGCAGAGCGGCTGGGCCCGTGAGCCATGGCCGCTGAGCCTGTGCGTCCGGAGCCTGTGCTCCGCAATGGGAGAGGCCACAACAGTGAGAGGCCCATGTATCACAAAGAAAAAAAAAAAAGAAAGGGGGAGGGATGAGAAAGAAATAAGTAGATGAGAGAGAAATTAAACCAATTCACTAGTTACTTAGAACAAAATTATAATTAGGTTCACTTTGTAGGAAGAAAGCATTATGGGACACCAGCACAGTGGTGTCTGCTGTCAGCTGTGATCATGTTTGATTTCACCAACAGGGACAAAGAGGCTACACACTGGGAACTCTAAACGCATCCCACTCTTCCCAGCTCCCTGGAAAGAGCCCAGCCCAGCACTCGGAGAGTGTTAGACTGGGAAAAACGCCAAGCTCCAGGGGATGCCAGGGGAGCCATCTATGTCTTTGAATTTGGAAATGATCAGGAAGCCAGGGGTTAGGAAGTATGGTACCACTTTTCTCCTGGAAAACAAAAATCATGCCACCTCGGTTATTCAGATTTCTGTTGACTAAAACTCCACATGGCGTAAGGTGGGAAAATGATCACAGCTCAGGACAAAGCGATTGGATTCTTCCTCTGGATCTATAAGGCATGGCTATAAGACAACTCCACTCTAGGACCTGGAAGAGCCATGGCAAAATATACGCCCCTCTAACACTCCTTCGTCTCCGACAATGTTCACCTAGTGCCTATTCAGACTATCCTGGGTGGTGTGGATACATCAGCAAACAAAATGCGTGAATATTGCTGCCCTCGGGGAGGTTACATTCTCATGGGAGGGAGACAGACAATTAAGTGAATTATAGTGTATATTATGTTAAAAGATGATAATTGCTATGGATCAAAGTAAGATAAGGAGGCTCAACCAGTGAAGGGGGATTGCAATATAAAATAGGGTCATGTTCAAAGCTTCCTCATTCAGAAGGCAGTTTTCAGCAAAAACTTGAAGGAGGGGGTGAGAATTAAGTAAGCAATTACGGAGAAGTGGAGGGGTGTGGGGAGAGACAGTAAGCAATGAAACTAGAGAGGTAACGGAGGCCAGATAGTGTCCAGCCTCGCAGGGTTTATTCTAAGTGAAATGGGGAGCTTTGCAGGGTTTTGAGCGTAAGATGACTTGGTGTGATTTATGCTTTAAAAGATCACTCTGGCTGCTGTGTTGGGAATTGTCTGTAGGGGTGAAAAAGTGGGAGAGCAGCTTAGAGGCCACCACAACATCCAGGCCAGACAAGATGGTGGCCTAGACCAGGATGGTGGCAGTGGAGGAGGGGAAACAGGGCAGATTCTGAATGTATCTCCGAGGTTGGGCCACCAGAATTTGCCGACAGATTAGACATGGATATGAGAGAAAGAAAGGAATCAAAGATAATTTCAACGTTTTTGAATTGAGCAACTAAAAAGGTTGTCATAACTGAGACGGTGTGGTCTATATATAGAGCAAGTTTGGCAGGAAAGATCAAGACGTTTTCAGTTTTTAACACTTTAAGACAGAGATGGAGAAGCGTATTGCACATCCAAGCACAGCTGCTGAACAGTCTAGAGCTCAGGGGAGAGATCTAGGCTGGAGACAGACAGTTGGGAGCTGTCAGCATACTGATGATATTTAAAAGCAAGAGCGTGGAGCTTCCCTGGTGGCGCAGTGGTTGAGAGTTCGCCTGCCTATGCAGGGGACATGGGTTTGCGCCCCGGTCCGGGAAGATCCCACATGCCGCGGAGCAGCTGGGCCCGTGAGCCGTGGCCGCTGAGTCTGCGCTTCCGGAGCCTGTGCTCCGCAACGGGAGAGGCTGCGACAATAAGAGGCCCGCGTACCACACACAAAAAAAATAAAAATAAAAGCAAGAGCGTGGATGAGATAACAAAGGGCTGAGAGAGTGTGGACAGAGGAGAGAAGAGGCCCAGGGACCATGCATTGGGACACTGTTATTAATTTGGAGAGAAGAAAAGAAGCTAGCAGAGGAGTCTGAGGAGGACCAATCAGTGAGGAAAACCAAGAGCTAAGGGAAGCCAAAGAAAGCAAGGAGCGAGCGATGCTCTCTGTCAAATACCCTCCACAGCCAAATGATGTTAAGAGCCGATGACTGGAGTCCACAGTGTGAGGGGCATCGGCGACCTTGACAAAAGCTGTGTTGGTGGAATGGCAACAGTGCAAAACCCGACAGGCGGGTTTAAGAAAGAATGGAAAGAGGGGCTGCAGACAGTGAGTGCAGACAAGACTTCCAGGTATTTTGTTATAAAAGGGGGAGCAGTGAGATGAACCCATATTCCCAGTGGAAATGAAATCTGCAGCATCCAAAGGGAAGGGGATCTGGTGGAGGAGCGGCCCTGGAGCCTCTCACCTCTGAGACCCCTGTCAGCAAGCCTTTCAGAGCCTCTGGCGGACTTCTCCTTGCCAGCACTAGACAGGGAGGCCTTCGAAGTGAAGCTCCTTAAAGATGATGGCCTCCGGGGTGGGCCTGTGAACAGGAGGGCACATTTGGGCAGCAGGGTCCAGGCGGGTGGCCGTGGTGAAAACACAGGCGGTACGAGGCGTGTCAGAGTTCTCCCAGTGCGCTCCCTTCTGTTTCCTCCACCCTTTCTGACCCACGGGACTGCCCACAAATCAACATGCACTCTGTGGTAGGCAGAATAATGGTCCCCAAAGACGTCCGCATCCTAATTCCCAGAGCCTGTGACTATGTTACCTTACGTGGCAAAAGGGGCTTTGCAGATATGACTAAGTTAAGAACCTTCAGATGGGGAGATTATTCTATATTATACAGGTAGGCCCACACGAGGGCCCTTGTAAGGGAAAGAGGGATGCAGAAAAATTGGAGTCGGGAAAAAATATGTGATGATGGAAGCAGAGATCAGAGCGAGAGAGAGACAGAGAGAGAGAGGGTGAGAGAGAGAGAGAGAGAGAGAGAGAGAGAGAGAGAGAGAGAGAGAGAGAGGGAGGGAGAGAGGGAGGGAGAGAGAGAGGGAGATTTGGAGATGCAGTGCTGCTGGCTTTGCAGATGCAGAAAGGGACTGTGAACCAAGGCACGCAGGCGGCCTCTAGAACTGGAAAAGGCGGGGAAACGAGTCTCTTCTTGAGCCTTCAGAAGGAATGCAGCCCTGCCGACCCATTTTAGACTTTTGACGTCTAGAACTGTAAGACAATAAATTTGTGTTGTTTTAAGCCACTGAGTCTGTGGTAATAGTTACAGCAGCCATGGGAAACCGACACACATGTGGAGTCCTTGTACAGGCCGGGCAGCCAGGAACTGTTCATCCGTCACCTGCCAGAAGCAAGGTCCACCAAAAGCTTCCCAAACAGTTCTAGGAAACAGAACGAGGTCCTGAAGATAACGTGTGAAACGTTTCTGTGCTGCTCAAGGGTGAATACCCTGATATTCACAATACTTAGCGTGTTCTTCTTTATGGCTCAATACAGTCATCTTATGGCATAAATCTATCAATTTCTGTTCTGTTCTCAAAGCGGATGCAAAACAACTGGTGTCCACCCCTGGCCTACAAGCCAAGAAGAGAATAGATCAAGGGGCTCAGCAAATCCCACACCTGCCCCTGCCCTCGCCATTTCAAGATACCAAGAGTTAGCCTGAAACAGTGGGTCTCACACTTTCCTAAGTGTCAGAATAACGTGGAGAGCTTGTGAAAAGCGATTGCTGGGCCCCTCATCCAACTTCTGACTGTGGAGATGGAGTGGGCCCCGAGGATTTGTATTTCTAACAAGTCCCCAGGAGATGGTGATGCTGTTGGTCTTGGGCCCACACTTTGAGAGCCACCAGCGTAGAAAAAGCACAGGGCTATCCTGCAGCCTGTAAAAAAGATAGTACTCTTCTGTGCGTGAGAGAAAAGGTTGTATTGGTTGCCTGGTTTATTTTCCCGAGGATCCTAAGTGACCAGAAACTGAGGGAATGGCACCTGAGCATACTCTTACAAGTTCCAGGAAGTCAGGTGAAAATGCCCAGGGAATATCAGGGCCGGAAGAGCCCAGATGACTGGCAGAATCTAGCTTCAGCCTCCTTCATAACTGGCATTACTCAGGCCTCAAGTTCCCACTTGCTACTTTGAAGAAAGTAATGTCAGCAGTCAGAAAAGTAGGGCTTTGGGACTTCCCTGGTGGCACAGGGGTTAAGAATCCACCTGCCAATGCAGGGGCCATGGGTTCGAGCCCTGGTCCAGGAAGATCCCACATGCCGCAGAGCAACTAAGCCTGTGCGCCACAACTACTGAGCCTGCACTCTAGAGCCTGCAAGCCACAACTACTGAGCCTGCACACTGCAACTACTGAAGCCTGCGCGCCTAGAGCCCATGCTCCGTAACAAGAGAATCCACCGCAATGAGAAGCCCACGCACCGCAAAGAAGAGTAGCCCCCGCTCACCACAACTAAAGCCCGCCTGCAGCAATGAAGACCCAAAGCAGCCAAAAAAAAAAAAAAAGAGAGAGATAAAGAAGGAAAAGTAGGGCTTTGTCCTGAAGCAAAAGAAACTGATGCAAGATGAGTGAGACACGAGAGGTTCACATCCAAATGCTAGATTAGTCTTGCAGAAAGAGTGCTTCTCCGGAAGACTCACCCCAGCCATATTCCTCTTGGGTTAAGAAGTGGAGTCCTCATTTTCTCATCTTGGAAGAGGATGAAATACTGTTTCTGGGATTGTGCGTGCTGATGGGGATGTGGTTTCTTTATTGCGAGTAGAAAACAAATGTGGCATGAAAGCTGGGGGAAACAAGTACTTGCCTCCGAGCTCTCCTAACAGTGAAATATGTTAGAATTTCTGGAGATCAGAGGCAGAGCAGAATCTCACTTGATTAAAATGGAATGGACAACGCCAGCTTGTCCACAAGGCCAGATAGGTCTCAAAAACCTGAGCCCTGAGCCGCTGAACTTGCAAAGACTAATTGCTTAAAAGCCTAGATCAAGTTACTGTATCCAAAATATTGGGCTGTGGTCAGGAAAATGCATCCTGGACCTCTGCTCAATTGGCAGGAAGATTTCCCAGGATGCTAGCTTAGCATCAATTAGAAAAATATGGGGGGAAAAAGTCCCTAATAAGATTGCCAGGTGCACCTGGAGTATCTTTCTTGGAGAAAGTAGCCTCTTTGATTTTTCACAACCCAACAGGGAATCTACAAGTGGGCCTTCCTCAGCCTCTTCCACTCCCATCCACCTGTCTCAGTGTAGCCGAGGTATTGTTAACTAGCAGGGTTATAAGGTTTCATTCCCACGAGTGAAGCCCATCATAGAACAAATGACCCATTTATTTGTGGTTGCCTGGATCCTGATGGTAATCTGGAAGATTCCTTTTTGTTCTTCTTTCTCCTTTTTTTTTTTTTTTTTTTTTGCGGCATGTGGGATCTTCCTGGACCGGGTCACGAACCCGTGTCCCCTGCATCGGCAGGCGAACTCTCAACCACTGCACCACCAGGGAAGCCCTTTCTCCTTTTTAAAATTTTTAGACCACAGGTAAATCTGTAATCTCACCAATAGCACAGAATCATTTGTAGCAGAAAGGACTCTGAATGAGGAGTTCAGAAGATCTGCTTTTATTTTGAGTCTGTCGCTAATAGGATTGAAAGAGTCTCTGGTCCTTTGGGCCATCCATCTCCCCATCTGTAAAATAAGAGGCCTATAGGACATCTCTTAGAAAACTGAGATTTAATGAACATAGTTCTCTAGTTGATACTGCTTTTGGACTTATTTGGGCATGGAGGTGGGAGGGGAAGGTCTCAGCATAAGAGAGTGGAGAAGTGAGGGATGGAGGGCCTGGCAGCGGACAGGAGAAGCAAAACAAGGACGTTCTAGGGATCGAGAGAAAACGCATGCCCCTTTCCCTTGTAGTGGAAATTGTCAGTTTGGTGCTGCTGCAGGAAACTCTGCCCACTACTGTCTGAAGGAAATGGCAGCCTGTTTTCCCTTCACCCACATTAAGCCACCGTCTACCCACCCCCAAACCTCCAGCACATCTCGAATATCCTGAAGAACCCTCATTTTTTCCAGCCAGGACAACGTGTTCTATTTCTAAATCAAATCATGGCTTTTCACAACTTTGCAGAAAACAGTAAGTAAAAAACTAAAACTTTTAATAACTCTGTTTCTTCCATATTTTCAGCGCCTGTTATTTCTCTATGTCAAAATCCAATATAAGCTGATTTAGCACAGATATACACAATTATATGTTTTTAGTTTAATAAATACTATTTCATCAAGAATATTAGGAAATCTTTTAAATACTTTGATAGTCACTGGCCTACACCATATCTGTGAATCTCCTCCTTGTCCTGTCTTTCTACACCTGTGATCATGTGCGTGAGCTCATTACCTGGGGGAAGGAGGCCGGTTCTGTTATATGTAGAGATGGGCCCACGTATAGCAATAGCAAGTCTTCCAAATTTCTTAATCTGGGGGATAACAACGTTGGAAAACTCTACACCCACCTAAACAGACAGGGAAACAAAAAACCAAAACCTTTAAATAATCTAAACCCTAGAAGATTCAGGAGAATCATTAACTCACAATGATCATTTCACAATACTTGTTTTAGCAGCAATAACACTGATTAAATTAGCACCGCAGGGCAGAAAATCGCAGTTGGAAAGAGACATTAGAAACTAGGCATTTTCATTTGACTGTAGAAATACACCTTATATAACTTGTAAATTTTACTTCATTATAATTTGGGGTTTTCTGACCAGTTCAGTAATCTCATTGCTTTATCTAAAAGTATGGAAAAATAACTCAGAAGCCATATATCAAGAACAAAGTTGGAGGACTCACAGTTTCCGATCTCAAAACTTACTACGAAGCTACATCAATCAAGACAGTGTGAGAACGGAAATATAGATCAATAGTACTAAACTGAGAGTCCAGAATAAGCCCTTACATTTACAGTCAATTGATTTTTGACAAGAGTGCCAAAACAATTCAACAGGGGAAAAAACAGTCTTTTTAACAAATGGTGCAGAACAACTGACATCCACACGGAAAAGAATGAAATAGGACTCCTCCCTTACACGATACACAAAAATTAACTTAAAACATGTCATAGGGCTTCTCTGGTGGCGCAGTGGTTGAGAGTCCGCCTGCCCATGCAGGGGACACGGGTTCAAGCCCTGGTCCGGGAAGATCCCACATGCCGTGGAGTGGCTGGGCCCGTGAGCTATGGCCGCTGAGCCCGCGCATCCGGAGCCTGTGCTCCGCAACGGGAGAGGCCACAACAGTGAGAGGCCCGTGTACCAAAAAAAAAAAAAAAAAACGTGTCATAGACCTAAATATAAGAGCTAAAACGATAAAACTCTTAGGAAAAAACCATAGGAGTAAACCTTTGTGACCTTGGATGAGGCAAAGGCTTCTTAGACATGACACCAAAAGCCTAAGCAACAAAAGAAAAACTAAATTGGACTTCATCAAAAATTTAAAACTTTTGTGTTTCAAAGGACACCATCAAGAAAGTGGAAGAAAAATAAAGGAAAGTGAAAGCAACTCGCAGAATAAGAGAAAATATTTGCAAACCCTATACAGGAGATATTATTACTAATGATCCTCATTTTAAGTATATTCCATAATTGAGAACTGGACTACTTGCTAGTATTATTTATAACCCCAATACTCATAGAGCTTTCCCTGGTCATTTGCAGACATACACAGAGTGGCTAGTGGCAAAAGAGACACAAAGTTCCCAGCTGAGGTCAAAAAAGGCCAAGGGTCTGCCTTCTTTTTTTAGCTCTCATACCGAGATTACCAGAGGATGAAGACAGTAGGGGGCAGTGCAGAGTGGTTCAAGAAGCTCCAGCTCTGGGGCCAGCTGAATGGAGTATGAATCCCAACTGTGGGAGGATTAGTTCTGGGGCAGCCTCAGACAAGTTACTTAACACTTTTAAACAAAAATTTTCTCTTTTAAAATAAAAAGAGAAGTTATAGGAAGGACTAAAGATTGTAATCTATGTAAGATATGTGCATGTGTGTGCACACTTCCAGTAGGAGCAATGGTTCAGTGTTTGTGGTGACTTTATAGAACATAAAGTTCTATAGGAACTTATAGACCAGGAATACTGAGAATTGACTGTATCTGATAAGGGACTTGGGTCCAGAATATATAAAGAACTCTGACAACTCAACAAATAACCCAACTGGAAATGGTCAAAGGATTTGAGCAAACATTTCTCCAAAGAAGACATACAAATGGCCAATAAGCACATGAAAAGATGCTCAACATCACTAGCCATTGGAGAAATGCAAATCAAAACCACAACAAAATATCACTTCAAACTCACTAGGATAGCCACAATCAAAATGACAGATAATAAACTCTGCTGAAGATTTGGGGAAATTGGAACCCTTACAGATTGCTGGTGACAATGTAAAATAGTGCAGCCATTTTGCAAAATAGTATGGCAGTTCCTCAAAATATTAAACGTGGAGTTACCATATGACCCAACAATTCTGATTGTAGTCAAGAGAAATGAACACATATATCCACACAAAAACTTGTACATGAATGGTCATAGCCAGCATTATACATAATAGCCAAGAAGTGTGAATGACTCAATTGCCCATCAACCGATGGATGGATGAATAAAATGTGATATATCCATACAATGGAATATTATTTGGCCATAAAAAGAAATGAGGGACTTCCCTGGTGGTGCAGTGGTTCAGAATCTGCCTGCCAATGCAGGGGACACGGGTTCGATCCCTGGTCCGGGAAGAACCCACATGCCGCGGAGCAAATAAGCCCACGTGCCACAACTACTGAGCCTGTGCATCTAGAGCCTGTGCCACCACAATGAGAAGCCCACGCACCACAATGAAGAGTAGCCCCTGCTCACCGCAACTAGAGAAAGCCCGCTCGCAGCAACAAAGACCCAATGCAGCCAAAATAAATAAATAAATTTATTTTTAAAAAAAGAAAATGAAGTAACATTGCAAATCAACTATATTTCAATAAAAATTTTTTTAAAAAGGAATGAAAAAATGGTACATGCTACAATATGGATGGACCTTGAAAACATGCTAAGTGTAAGAAGCCAGTCACAAAATATCACTTTTGGGGGGACAAAGGGGAGTGACTGCTAATGAACACAAGCATTTCTTTTCAGGGTGATGAAAATGTTCTAAAATTGTGGCAAGGGTTGTACAATTCTGTGAATACACTAAAAGTTACCGAGTTCTATGTTTTAAACAGGTAAATTATATCTCAATAAAGTTGTTTTTTAAAAAAGGCATATGTGCTTTCCTCATATATTTTTAGATGGAAACTCTAGAAGTAGATTCCCTCATATAGTACTTAGTTGCTTTGCTAGTAAATCAGATATTAAGTCCAATTTGTACTTACATTATCAAAATCACAATCATAACCCTTAGGAGAGGCTTTTTGCAAAGTTTCTTCCAAAGACTTTACTGTTTTGTAGTTAAAGGCAACATCAAATCCATACTTTTCAAGGCAGGCAACCCTTTTGTCAGACCCTGCTGCTCCAACAACTTTGCAGCCTTAAATGGGGAGAAAAATGGAAACCATTTATAAACCACAAGCATGGGCCAAGTCTATCCTCCTAGTCTAGAATGGCCAGGTTCCTCCAGAACACCCTCCTAGGTGCTGAGCCACATATATAATGGGCCAACAGACCCCCTAGGAGAAATTCGTCCCTAAACTAGCCTATGATACAACCCAACCATCACTTCAGCTTGCCTCTGACCACCCCACCGATCCCTCCTATGTTTAGGTGGTTTGCAGCTCATTTCAACCTGCTGGCTTGACTCTCCTGTTTCTTTCTTTTTTTTTTTTTTTTGGTGGTACGTGTGCCTCTCACTGCTGTGGCCTCTCCCGTTGTGGAGCACAGGCTCCGGACGCGCAGACTCAGCAGCCATGGCTCACGGGCCCAGCCGCGAGCGGCATGTGGGATCTTCCTGGACCGGGGCACGAACCCATGTCCCCTGCATTGGCAGGCGGACTCTCAACCACTGCGCCACCAGGGAAGCCCTTGACTCTCCTGTTTATGTTGGGGCTTCTTCTCCCTTGCAATGACTTGCATGCTATCTCTTGGTGCAGTGACTCTTTAGACTATAATGTTGGCTCTGCCCTGGGACTCTCATATCAAAGACAGCCCTCCTGGTAACTGCCCCGTGTTCTGTGATTTGGCCCAAAGCGTTGGACTAGGTGCTGCCTAATCATAGAGGAACTGGAGTGCATCCTGAGAAGCACTTTCAGGTTGAGACTAGAGCTTATATTGGTACATAGAGAGTAGATCTTCAGAAAGCTCTCTTCTATTCTGAATGTATCGTGAAGACCAGAATATCAGCCTCTGTTCACTCTCAATTGGGGAAAGGCCTTTGGGTTCGTACATGTATCTGTACAAACGACTGCCATATGCTTTTTCCATTCCTTCATGATTCAAGAAAAAACAATTTTGCAAAATCTCTTATCCTTGGTCCTTTTGCCTTCTAACCTTATACTCTCATAAGATGATCTCATTTACTCTTATGACCTCACTACCACCTTCATGCAGATGATTCCCTTGTTTATTAACTCCAGCCATGCCTCTCTCCTGAGTTCCAAATCAGTATTTCCAGCGACCTATAACAATCTTCACTTGGAGAGCCTAAGGGGCCTCATAATCAATGTGTCTAAAATGGAATCTTTCTTTCCCTTGCTTCTTACCTGTTGTTCCTCCTCTATCCTCTATTGTAGTGGGTGATACCACGCAGTTATCCAAACCTGAAACATGTGGGTCAAAGGAGATGCTTTCCTTTCTCTTGCTAGCCACATCCAATCACCAGGTGTTTGTTCTTTTTCAACAAATATCCTTAAAAGCTGCCTCTGACGTCCCATCTTCACTGTCAGGGTATCATAATTTTCATCTGAATTATTGTAAGAGCATCCTAATCTGACTTCTTGTTTCTAGTATTGTGTCCCTATGAACTATTCACCTCCCAGGGTCAAAAAGATTTCTCTAAAATGCAGAATTAATCACGTCATTCCTCCAAGGATTAAGCACAAACTTCTTAGTATGGCAATCTCTAATGGAGTTTCTAAAAGAATAGGTTTAAGAATGAGTCCTATCAGGACTTCCCTGGTGGTCCAGTGGTTAAGACTCTGTGCTTCCATGGCAGGGGGCACAGGTTTGATCCCTGGTTGGGGAACTAAGATCCCACATGCTGCATGACACAGCCAGAAAAAAGAAAAAGATAAGAAAAGGGAGAGAGACGGCTCTTCCCTAATTAAAAAATATGTCCTATCAAATTTTTGAAACAAAAATCCCTTGAAGTTTTAATAAAACATTTAAAATTTGAATTTTGGAAGTATTACTAATTCATTTTGTTAAGTCTAGCATAACCCAAAGCTAAACACTGATAAGTTCCAAACAAAAAACTTTAAACCAAACTCACCTATGAATATAGATGCAAAAATTCTATATGAAATGTTATTAAATCAAATCCAAAAGTATAAATTCATAATACACCATTGGTAAATAACGGTTATTTCAGAATGCTATTATGGTTTAACATTAGAAAACTAATGTAATTCCTTAACTGCAAAATTTGCAACCTGTATGACAGCCTCATCTCTTTATTTGTATTCCAAGCTCCCATTAGCACTGGAGACCAGCCCAAACCCTTGGCTGCTGGTTGTAGTCCTGTACTCATCTGTATTCTCCCCAACTCTTTCCCTAGAAACTAGATCCTGCATCCAACATCCAGCCTCTGGCAAAGGATAAGCCAAACCAGATCACCTTGGAACATTTCCACTATGTGATACATCCTGGCCATGTGTGAGCTGCCTGATGTCTTGCACCCCTACCATCAAATCAGATCTCTTGAGCACAGACACCTGTCCAGATCAGAGGCAATGTTTCCATGCCCTGCGTGCCTCCCATGAGTTAGTTCCCAAGCTGAGGCCCCACCGCTCTGGGCTGACTGCAGTAGCCTTTGCAATGGGGCTGTGTGGGTGATGACTCTTGGTTGGCTGATATCAAGTCCCTCTTTTAATTGTTGGGGGCAATCATGAAGAAAGGAGATTAAGTTGTAACAAGAAAAGTTCAGTAAAAACTATGAAAATAGTTACTGCTTACAAATTCACTACTCTAGCAGAGGCCATTCCTGACTTGAGACCTGCAGTGGTATCAAATTACAATGTTCAGGTCATCTTTGCTGCGCCATTTTCCCCATTCCCCCCACGTTTCTCCATCATTCCCCATCTCCAGCTTCTCAACGAAATCGACTAGTGGACCAAACTCCCTGAGACGACAAAAGGTCTGCTGTGTTCACCTCTGCATTCCCAGGGCACGCTGTGGGCTCTGAGTAAATGTTTGTTATGGAGGAAGACACTTACCTTGAGCTTAGCGATCTGCCCCACAACGGAGCCCACTGCTCCTGCGGCCACGTTCACCAGCACTGTTTCTCCACCCTGCACACCAGAGATGTCAAGCAGGCCAGAGTAGGCTGTTAGGCTAAGGGAAGAAAAGTAAGGCTATGGGGATAAATTTGTTTCTTTCCCCTGTATCTCATTTATATATACCCTGAAGGCCTTCTCAGCAGCTCAGTGCCATGGGTCCAGGTAAAAGACAGAAAATATAGGAAATGGATATTACTAGCCACTAATGGTCCACCTCCTCCTTCTTTACCTCCAGGAGAGGAAAAAAGATGATGGGAACTAGGGAGGGAACAGAGAGGTGGCTGGAAGGGGGGGGAAGCATCCTGTCCACCCCCAGGCCAAGTTTCAGGGGTGAAAGAAAATAGATCCCCTTAAACTGTAGGGATCCAAGAACAGAGAGCTTATGCCTCATTCCTATGTAAGTTCTAGGGAGATGGCGAGCTTCATGGGGAAAGCCTCCACGACATCATAAACAGATGTAACGGTATATGGTGTCTAGGCCTGAGAGGGTCAGGAAGAAACACCTTGAACTTCCCATGGCTCCAGAGTGGTATGAAAGAACATCTGCAATCTCCCCACCTCATCCCTAGTGAGATGCCGAAGTTAGCTTGCAGGGAAACGACTAGTGGGCCTGCAAAGATGCAGCTCACATAGCACCAATGGGGATTATTAGGTCAAGAAACCACCACAGTTCAGTGGATTTCCAGCTTGGAAGGGGATGTGGCTGCGGACTCAATGAGAAAAGTTACACTTTTTTTTTTTTTTTTTTTTTGCGGTACGCGGGCCTCTCACTGCCGCAGCCTCTCCCGTTGCAGAGCACAGGCTCCTCCGGACGCGCAGGCCCAGCGGCCATGGCTCATGGGCCCAGCCGCTCCGCAGCATGTGGGATCCTCCCAGACCGGGGCACGAACCCGTGTCCCCTGCATCGGCAGGCGGACTCTCAACCACTGCGCCACCAGGGAAGCCCGAGAAAAGTTACACTTTGAGAGGGGGGGACCAACGCACAACTAAGATCAAAAGCAAGAAGTTGTCCCCCCTCTACTGGGTTTGTGTTAGCCCTGTGAGCTTTGCATCAACCCTACGGAGAAGACAAAGGAAATTATGAGTTTTAAACCTGAAATGATGGGAGAAATCACTGGCTTAACGGAGGTTTTATTTTGTTACACCAGCTTGAGATAGAAATGAAGTACAGGAGTAGAAAAATTTTAAGTTCTATTTTTTCACCCCTGAGTCTGAGCCCATGAAATTTATACCCATTATAGTGATTGTTAAGCCACTGGCAAAAATTTCAGACAATTCACATAAAGCCATTTCTGTGTAAAACAAAACTACACGTTGGCGTGACTTAAGCTTATTCAGCCGTGACTACATCTGAGGGCTCGTTAGAGTTGGGCATTGAAGGGAAAGCAGTGAAAGGCAAACAGCACTTCTTCTGAGGATCCAAATATCTAATATTCCCTTAACCCACTGTTTTCAAAAGATGGATGGAACACCACTTGTCGCAGAATCACCTGTAGCTTTATTAAAAATTTAGATTCCCAGACCCTGCCTCAAACCCACTGATTCAAAAATACTGGGATGTGGATATATGAATTTGAATAGGACTCTAGGTGATTTTTATGAATGCAAGCAACTGAGAACCACCGCCTTAATGAATGCTGATATCCGAGTATGCTAGGCAAGTTAGCCTAACCCCCAAAGAGAAGCAGAAGGTACATTTTCAGATTGGGTCATTCCACCCATGACAGCCCGTACACCCCCTCCCCCAATCTCCCATCTAGATGTTTGCAACATCAGCTTTCAGTTAGACATACTGACCTAAGATGTACAAGGTCTTTCCCAAACATCACCTCCTTTTAAAAGTAAAATGGAGGTAGGATGAAGAAGCCAGCAGTAAAGAAATCCTAGAGGGAAAATGAAAGGTATGCTTTGGACGAAGGGGGACTGGATAGAATCAACAGGTTGGAGAGCAAAACACTTGAACTGTTCCAGCTTAACAAGAAGACAAGAGATCCTATAGAAGGAAATAATGCAATACTTTGGGAGGATGTTAAATCTTTGGAGCCTGGACAGCTGAAAGACCCTAGGTTTCAAAGTTCAACTTCTTTTATAGTTTATAGCAGAAGTTCCAGCATTCTGGAAGGGTTGACGCATCCCACTGGTAAGGCGCATAATGTCAGGAATTGTCAAAGAATTGGTGGTGTGTTGCTCATGGAGGCTAGAAACATGGCATATGTAACCCCTCTCCCTCAATCTTTGAGAACCACTGGTATGAAGCTGATTACCTGGAGTAGAAGCATACTCCTTAGGGGCTTGAAACGGGTGAATGAGAAATATACCCACAAAGGAATAGATTATCCTCTATTTTTAGAATTCAAATCTCCTAATGTTTTACCAATTACTTTCTCTCCAGCTAAGTCATGGGAAACTGGCTCCTTGGTTTCCTCATGTCCGCCTTCACCCCCGTGCTCCTACCCCCAGCTCACCATTTAGAGAAGGATGGGTGGGATAACAAGGTGGGAGAGGAAGAGCTCTCACTGGTAGAGGGTACAGGCAGGCAGGACAGACCGGAAAGGGCTGTCATTCTGTTTACTGCCTTAAGCATCCTCTAATTTCACAGTGTCGTCTCTTGGCTGTGGCAATGCTGAGGAGCTCAAATCCTGTGTGTTGTATGAACTTGGGGGGTATGGGACTGGTTTTGCTGGAGGCTGATCATTTGGGGATATATATATTTCCGTTTCATTCTTTAGAAGTCCTTCAAAGGGTGAAAAGAAAGAGGGAGGAAGGGTGGGAAGAAGGAATGAAGAAAGAAAAGGATCACACAACCTGGAGAAATTACTTAGAGAAACTTTCCGGGCTAGGAAAATTTGGGGGACTTCAAAGGGAATTCAGGTGACCTTGCTTCTCCAGGACATGAGAGGAAAACTTGAGGTGCAAAGTGCAGCTGGGCCCTGGAGGGCAGACACAGGATGAACTGACCAGGAGTCTTCCTGAGGGTTAAGGCCAAGAGACACTTGAGTGTTTTAAATCTGCACCACACTGACGGTACAACTATACTGTGATTCATCTCAGGTATTTGAACTTCAGATCCCCTGACACCTCTGGAAACTCAGATGTGGAAAGGAGGTGAGGTATCAGAGACAGTACAGAAAGGCCAAGGTACACTGAACTCCTTTTCCCTTTTTAAACTCTGAAATGGAGGCAGACATGAGTGAGGGGTGAAGCCAAGACCTTTCCAGGGACAGAAGGAGCTGGTTTCTTCGTGTCACACCGTTTGCCAGAGGCTTGAGAGCGACTGTGCTTCCTCTCCCTCCCATGCTGCCCCTCACCAGCACTTTCTCTTTGTACCTGATTTCCCCTCTCTCTCCTTCAGTCCCAAGGCTAACTCTAGCCCCTCTTCTTCCCTTCTTAGTCCCATCATCCTTTCTAATCAGCCCCTGAGCCTAGAACGTCTCGAGTCTCTTCTCGTTGATCAAGTTCTGGACCAACCATTTTGGAAAACCAGGATATCAGGGATTCAAATGAGTGAAATAAACCCATGAAACTCACCTGGGCATGCCAACCATTCCCAGAGCCAAAGACAGTGGTAACGTGTCCGGCCACTCTGCAAGCAGCTTTTCCAGGTTTTTCCCATCAGAAATGGAGTGCGCCGTCCAGCCGAAGGAGCCACTACAGTTGTTCCTGTTGGGAAGGCTGAGTTCTTACTTTCCACAACCCTGAAAGAGACAGCACATTCAGATACGGGAAACCCCTTTCCTTTCAAGTGAGTCCGATGCTGCATGGTTAGTGGTCACAAAGGGGTATTGAGTTTCATGTTCTGTGATTTAATACCCTACCACATCTCTCCATCTGAATTCTTAGCCATTGGTGTCTCCTCCTCAAGGAAAAATATGGGCCCTCAGAAAGGAATTCTCGACTGGTCCAGCATCTGTCCCTGTCGTCACTCACTCTTCTCTCTAAGCAAGAGGTGTTCATCCTCTGGCTCGAGGTGATCTGGACATCAGCCTCTTCTCTTCTTCAGAGGCTACCCTCCATTTCTTAGCCCTTCCTCTCTTTTGAATCCTCAACATTCTCCTCTCTTACTGTCCCTTTCTTACAATCTCATCCTATCTCTACCTTGTCTCTCTCTCTCCTTTTTTTTTTTTTTTTTTTGTTTGTTTTTTTTTGCGTTACACGGGCCTCTCACTGCTGTGGCCTCTCCCACTGCGGAGCACAGACTCCGGACGCGCCGGCCCAGCGGCCATGGCTCACGGGCCCCGCCGCTCCGCGGCATGTGGGATCCTCCCAGACTGGGGCACGAACCCATGTCCCCTGCATCGGCAGGCGGACTCTCAACCACTGCGCCACCAGGGAAGCCCCTCTCTCTCTTCTTTTAACAGCCAAATTTCTTCACTTCCCATTCACTTGATAACCCAATGCAACCTGCCTTCCACCCCCACTGTTGGAAGCAACCTAAATGTCTATCAACAGAGGAATGGATAAGGAAGATGTGGTACATATATACAATGGAATATTGCTCAACCATAAAAAGGAACAAAACTGGGTCATTTGTAGAGATGTGGATGGACCTAGAGAGTGTCATACAGAGTGAAGTAAGTCAGAAAGAGAAAAATAAATATCGTATATTAACGCATATATGTGGAATCTAGAAAAATGGTATAGATGACCTTATTTGAAAAGCAGAAATAGAGACACAGATGTAGAGAACAAACGTATGGATACCAAGGGGGAAAGCGGGGGGGTGGGAGAAATTAGGATATTGGGATTGACACATACATACTATTGATACTATGTGTAAAAGAGACAACTGATGGGAACATACTGTATAGCACAGGGAACTGTACTTAATGCACTGTGGTGTCCTAAATGGGAGGGAAACCCAAAAGGGAGGGGGTATATGTATATGTATGGCTGATTCGTTTTGCTGTGCAGTAGAAGCTAACACAACATTGTAAAGCAACTATACTCCAATAAAAATTAATTAAAAAAAAAAAAAAAAAACATAAGCCAGGTACCACTGGGTACTTGTTACCCAAAACACTAGATACACAAAAAGGGATGCTAGTTAACATTTGGAAACATATTTTTCACTTTAGATTTTTTTTTTTTTTTTTTTTTTTTTTGCGGTTTTTGGGCCTTTCTCTTTTTTGGCCTCTTCCGTTGCGGGGCACAGGCTCCGGACGCGCAAGCTCAGTGGCCACGGCTCATGGGCCTAGCCGCTCCGCGGCATGTGGGATCTTCCCGGACCGGGGCACGAACCCGTGTCCCCTGCCTCAGCAGGCGGACTCTCAACCACTGCGCCACCAGGGAAGCCCTCACTTTAGATTTTAATCTCTACCATCAACTATGAAAAAAATTATTTAAAAGAATGATGGCTGCATTGTTTACCTAGGCAAAAAGTTACTGAGTCAGTGGCCAGTGAAAGCGTGTATTCTCTCCTCTCCCTGAACTGTTTACTGAGTACACACGTTTGAGTCGACTGCAGATTACCTAAATTAAAAGAATATAGGTAAAGGAAAGGCAAGAAAACCTAATTTTAGTCTTAGCGTCTTTCTCTACCCAAATTATTTGCCAGTAGTGAAATGGAGAAATTCGAGCTTGGCTTCTTTCTTCTTTTAAGTTTTTGGGAAGGAATTCTGGTGACCAATGAGAGGTAAATTGTGCACATGAAGATAGGGGATGGTTGTAAAGTAAAGGGGCCAGTGTAATCCCTCACTGCTCCGCTCAGACTTTCGCCTGAAAAAGATGAGCATCCGTGAATCCCATCACTGACATCCTTCTGGGAGAAACGGGGAAGCCATAGCGTCTTGAATCAGCTGGATATTTTAAAAGATTGACCACGTCAAACTAGAGTCCAGTGCACAACATAAGAATTTTCTGGAGGAAAATAATACCTCATATAAGGATCCACAGTGAAGAACAAAGCTTCCAGCAGGACCTCTACAAAATAAAGCATTCCACAGGCAATTAGAAACCCTGGCCTGATGCCTCGTCTCTGGCCTTCTAAATAAACACAGACAATCTCTCTGCTTCAGGGTTGCCCTCTCATCTGTGCTTCCTACTGAAGAGCCAAGAAGAGCTCTCACCTTGGGCTCAGTCCAGTTAATAGAAGTAAAAATTATTTTTTAAATTTTTAAATAAAATTTAAAATTATGTTTGTTTACTCAGCACTCACTCCATGCTTTACATAGATTATTTCACACGATGTTCTGAACAATTATTGTTTCCATTTTATTTAAGCTTAGGTTAAGTATCTTGACCAGGGCCACATCTGTAACCACTGTGTTACAGGGCTCACATAGGGTTTTATTACCAGCCTCAGTTAGTATTAAAAAATACATGCATTTTGCTGGAGTGACCCTCATGCACCCATCCTCGGGAATTTTGGTTCTGAGTTCCAGGTTATCCCAACCTAGATGGGATCGATAACTTTGCCATGCTACTTGATTGCATGCCCTTTTCTCAAAGCTTACCTACCTGAAAATAGCCCTTAAAGACACCCTTTAGCAAGTGCTCTGCAAAGCTTATCTCCAAACATGTGACGGGATGTGTCGCCATTTCTCTCCCTTCAATTTCTGCAGGGATATTGTCTGCTCACAGGGATAGTCTGAGGTCTTCACACTGCTGCTAGGCAGTTCTTGCCCTACTGTCATCGTGGGGCTCACTGGGACAGAGAGGAAATACTCCTCATGGGCTAGCGAAAGTCAGGAAGAACAATGCACCCAAGCATGCGTTTCAGGGAAGTTTCAAGGGAAGTAGAGGGATCTTCTAACTTGACATTGAGGCTTCACACACACAGCCTTGAAAAGGTCTCTGCGGCCGTTTGCACAAGGGCCACAGATACCACCCATCCCTGTGTGTGGGCTTCTTTCCCGTCCTCCCATCAAGAAGTCTACTGCCATACCTTGAATCTGGGCTTGCTTTGATGAACATCATATTAGCAAAGATGATATAAGTAGAGGTTTGAAAAGTGCTTGCATATTGGATCTTGCCAATTCCTGCTGCTCTAGATTTATGAAATCACAGTGAAAACAAAGAGCTCAAACCAGCCAGCTAGAGAGGCCACAGAGAGGAGAAGTGAGGCGTGCACCTGAGCAGAAAGCCGGCTAACATGACATGTGAGTGATGACCATCCTAAGTTAACCATTTAGCCCAGATGAGACCTACACAAGGCCCACCAACTTAACCCAGCCCAAACTGCCAACCCACAGAATTGTGAACTAATAAATGATTGTTGTTTGAAGTCAATAAATGTGGAGGTAGTTTGTTACCCAGCAAAGGCAAACTGATATAGTCTCTTCCAACTTAAATGTAATGAGTATGACTTACCTCTATTTTTTAAGGGTGGGAGTTCGACTGTCTTCAATTCAAAGTCACTATTAGTAGGGTGGCCTACGAAGTGTTTCTTCAGGGTCCAGCTCTTAGCATGAACCATCCTGAAGCTCCTAGAACACAGTGAACATGTAGTCAATGCCATGAAGTGACTGGATTCTTATGGCTCCCAAGTGTTGCACTGAGGCCACACAGCAGGGTCTACCCGTCATCAACTTTACCATTATCGTTTAACGTCAATCACGTTTATTTAGTAGTATTCACTGTTTCTATTGGTGTGTTAAGCACGTCATACTTATCATCTCAGTTTACCCTCATAATCTCCCTATAAGATAGGTATTATTATCATTGCCAGTGCACAGTTGTGCAGAAGAGGAAACTGAGGCTACCTTAGAAGTCTCCAAGGCAAGGAACAATGTTAACCCACACGAATTCTTCCTAGCCACTGCTAAGGTTTCGCTAGGGCACTGAACAACTACCTGGAGTGCAAATACCCCATTTCTCTCCTCATATGAAGCGAATTCTAAGAAAAAGCATCAAACACAAAGAACCGACATCCATGCACATCTTTTCCAAGGGCCAGAGCGCTGCGTTCTAAGGCAAGCAGTCTCAGGAACACCTGACAGCCGCCGGGTGGCGCTGCGCTCAGCCCCATTTTCAGGCGCGAGTTTTCTTTGGCACCAACGGGGAAATCAATTTGGGTCTGTTTGGGTTTAAACTTGCCTGCAGACAAGGCCAAGAGAAGATGATTCAGGCGGCCCTGAGCTCTCAGGGCATTTTGCTTGGAGCGATCGAGGTGGTTCGACCCGAAACCTTCCTGTTCCTACTTGTCTTTTTTTCCCAAAAAAGGCAGCCGCTGAGAATTCTGGACTCGCCATAAGTCCAGAAGCACCCGTGGAAAGGGCGCGACTGCAGAGGCAGGCGAGGATTAGGACGAGCCCCCCCCCGCTAGAGGAAAGGGGCCAGGTGGGATGCCCGGCCCAGGCGCACTCGCCCCCGGATCCCACCTCCTCGCCGCGCCCATACCCGTCCGTTAAATGAATTCCGACCCCTGCCTTTCTTCTCCTTCCACACTTGTCCCACTTTTGTAGTCCCGCACGTTCCTTCGCCAGCCCCCTCCCAGGTGCAGGCAGCTATGCCAGGCACCCAAAATACTGCCAGGCCACGCCCTTCCCTCCGGCAGCCGTCTCCGATCTCTCCAAGAACCTGCACGGGCCAGGAAGCATCGGCCCGGGCGTCCTGCTTCCAAGTTTCTTCCGAGGGCAAGACGCAGAGGTTACTCAGCACTAGGAGAGGGCGAGCAGCACGCAAACGCTCCGCCACAGGGGAGTCTAGATTCTAAAACTGTGGGGTGGGGATATTTACTTACCAACGTCCGCAGGCTCCATTACCTAAAGGGAGCAGGGGGACGAAGGCGGGTTCCCCCAGCGGCCGCGGCCGGGGGGCTCCTCCTCAGTCCCGCAGCTTGCCCGGCGTCCACGCCCCGACCCTGGCACTCGGGTGCTGGCCCCGTGCCCGCCTGCCCCCAGTCTCCCTGATGAACACCTCTTTACCCTGCAAGAGCCAATTCAAGGCTCACCTACTCAGTGAGTCTCAGACTCTCCCGGGCAGGAGTTAGCGCCCCTGTAGCTAGGGCGCCCCACCCCGCCGCAGCCCTGCAACACCCAGCCCTTGGTAGGGCCTTTCCCCGCCGACTCCTGGAGGAAAGGTGGATCCAGGGAGGCGGTGTGCGCAAGGCAAAGGTGCCCGGGCTCGGTTCCAAGCCTGCGCCCACCACTTCCTAACGGTGCAGCTCTGAATGAGCTACTTAACCCCTTCCTGCCTAATTGACCCATCTGCAAGATCGGGATAAGAGTAGTGCTTTATGAAAATTAAGTCTTTTTAAAGAATAAAATGAGTTAACACCAAGTGCTTAGACTAATACTGGCGCGTGGTAAGCTCAATAAACACTAGATCCTGGTAACAATCTTTTGACTTCCCCACTGGCCCTGAGTCAGTCCCAGGCACCCCACACTGCGTCATTCAATTGTATACCCCCAACTCCGAGCCCAATCCTGGTCGGTCATATAAACAGTGAAATAATGCAAAGATGTTTAAAGAACACTGCCCTTTCTCCTGCATTACCCTCTCCGAAAGGTAACAGATGTTACCAGTCCAGTGTTGACCCTTTCCCTCTCTTCTCCACAGTCGTTCAGACATATTCACTTAGAAGGTTCCCCGCCCCCCGCCCCGTTTTCACAAACACGTGATCATTCTAAAGCTGGTACTCTGCATCTTATTTTTTTATTTTCCCAGACTGAAAATCTTAGGCCTGGGTTATCTAAATCAGGGATAGGATTCTTTTTAACAAGGCACTGAGTGAAAGATTCAGAACTCCAAGAGGATAGCGTTAAGTAATATCAGATGTTAGCTATACAGTATTGCCAGATTCGCAGGAAAGATTGTTTGCTGGCTTCAAAAACTTTCCACAAAGGAGTTGAAAGAAATCTGGATGTCTCTGAAAGAGTGTATATTGGATTGCTAGGGCTGCCATAACAAATACCATAGACTCGGTGGCTTAAACAACAGACGTTTATTTCCTCATGGCTGTGGAGGCTGGAAGTCCAAGATCAAAGTGTTGGCAGGTTTGGTTTTTCCTGAACCCTTGCCCCTTGGCTTGCAGATGGCGGCCTTCTTTCTGTCTTCACATGGCCTTTTCTCAGTGCACATACATCCCAGGTGTCTCTCTCTCTTCTTTAAGGACACCAGTCATATTGGATTATAACCTTACCTAACAGTCTCAGTTGGATTTAATCAGCTCTTTGAAAGCCCTGTCTCCTGGGACTTCCCTGGTGGCGCAGTGGTTAAGAATCTGCCTGCCAATGCAGGGGACGTGGGTTCGAGCCCTGGTCCAGGAAGATCCCACATGCTGCAGAGCAACTAAGCCCGTGTGCCACAACTACTGAGCGTGTGCTCTAGGGCCTGCGAGCCACAACTACTGAAGCCCGCGTGCCTAGAGCCCGTGCTCCGCCACAAACAGAAGCCACCGCAATGAGAAGCCCACGCACCGCAACGAAGAGTAGCCCCCGCTCGCCTTCCTGTAGCAATGAAGACCCAAAGCAGCCAAAAATAAATAAATTTTAAAAAAAAGCCCTGTCTCCAGATACATGGATTACAGCCCACTCATATGATCTCGCTTAAACTTAATTACCTCATTAAATTCCTATCTCCAAAAATGATGATATTCTGAGGTTCTAGGTTTGGGGTTTCAACACATGAATTTTGGGAGAACATAATTCAGCTCATAACAGAGCGTATGGGTAAAGTGTGGTGGATGTACACTGGGAGGTATTATGCAGCTATCAGAAGCACTGGGTTAGATGGACATAAAGCAACCTGGATGGATCCTAAAAACACAAAGCTGCATGAGGAACAGAAAGAAGTGTGTGACCCGATATCACTTCTATAAACTAAAAGTATGAGCCCTTAGTGAACATTATGCAAGAACATTTACAAAAAATACAAACTACATATTAAATACATCACAATAGTTGCCTGTGGTATCAGGAGGAGAAGAGTAGGGAATGGGGATTGCTTTTTAAAGGCACATAAATTAATGAGAGACAGAGGGTGAGAGAGAATTTGGCAGACCAGTGGTGATAATACACTGTAAACTCTGATGAGTATGAAGAACTCAGCCCTCTGGCCCTCAGTCCAAAATGAAATACGCAGTGAGGAAATCAAGATACCCCTCCCCCATCTTCTTAGCAGACAGAGGGTAGAGAGAGGTCAAAACCTCTGTAGCAAACTACAGTCCAGTGCCATGGACACAAGACAGCCTGCTTCCCTCTTTTTATCTGAGACATTGGCCCAAGTGGTGACATCCAGTTGCAACATATGCTTTCCCATTTGGGGCTCAGAAAATGTATGGTTTCCTCTATTCTCTAACAGAAATATTGCAAAGTAACCAAAGTAATAAGTATGTACACTTAATGGCAGAGAGCCAGATATAAAGACTTTGAAAAAGATTTCACGCCTGGTATATCCAGTGGCAGACCATGTTGGTTGCCTGTCCAATATCCAATACCCTCTTTGTCCTTCCTACATACATACCCCAATTTTGTTTAGGGTAGCTGTGTACCCAGTTAAAGAACTCTGCTTCCAGGCTCCTTTGTAGCTGGGATTTTGACATAGTTCTGGTCAATGAGACAAGCAGAAATCTAATGGGTAGGGCTTTTAGGAAACTTATTGTTTCCCAGTTAAAATAAAAAGGGAGAAACTCAATAGACATGCATCTTTTGTCCTTTGCCTTTCTTCCTGCCTGAAATGTGGAGATGCTGCCCAGTGGTGCAACAAACATTTTGTGACCATGGAGCCACTCACGACAGGTGGCAGTAGAGAAAGGGAAAAGATGTCTGGTTTCCTAAGTAGTTGCATGAGCCCTGGACTTCCTTCTTTGGACTCCTTGTTACATGAAAACAAAGTGCTTTTTAAGCCACTGTAGTTTGGGTTTCTGGAACCACTGAATCCAGCCCTGACCCCCTGCAAATGGAGCAGGTGAGCCTGTGCCTCACTGGTTCCCTGGTGAGAACTGATGAAGTCCATCCTTCTTCCAGATGAAGAGAGGAATATCATGGCAATTGGTCAGGAAGTCCCCTCTGCCTGTGAGGTGTGTTTCCAAAGCTTACCTGGCGTATGTGGCATATGTGCAGTGGATTTTAGGGAAACATCTGTCATGTCCACTACACTATTAAACAGGATTGTTGTAAAGATTGTGTGACATGGGACGTAAAGGACTGGCAAGTAGCAAGCCCCCTAAACATCTTCCTTCCTCTCTTCTCTATCATGACTTTTTAAAAATTAAATATTTAAAAATATTGAGCTGTGAACAAAGCATGTTTCAGGTATATCAGAGAATCAGAGATGAGAAAGACACTCTTTGTTATTGGACACTGGAAGTGTTAACAAAATCACTGGTGTGAAAAGTCTTTGGAAAGCAATAAGAATTATAGCAATAAAGTGCCTGGAACAAAGTATCCCTCAAACATTTACTCACTTTTTTTTTTTTTTTTTTTAAAAAAAAACATTTACTCACTTGATTTCAAATAGAAGGTATGGATAAGATTTGGCCACACCAGGTCAAACAGGATCCGAGTCATTGTGACTCTGTCAGGCTTAATCACTGAAATTTGCCAAGTCATGGTGATTACGCTAAGTCACGGTTGTTAAGTCATCACAGACAGAATTAGAATGTGGGGAAAAGGTCAAGGGAGAGCATTTTCCCTTACTTTGCTCTGAGACAAAACCAAATTCAGTTCCGTCCTCCAGCCTTAGGGTTCAGAGAGCTCTGATCTAGCTAGCTGAGGGAACAATTCACTGTTAAATACAATCACAGAAGTAATAAGAGAATGCATCTTGTCAAATAATTCAGACAATACAGACGCATACAGTGTAAGAAGCAAAAGTCCTTGTTCTCTGTTTGGGGAGGATTCCTTCTGACGTTTTTCTATGGCAACGCACTTTCAGAATAGACACTCATCTCCTCTTCCTTCTCTACAACTTCCATTGCATTGGCCTGGTAAGATAATGCTTGGGAAATAATTATAAAACTGGGTAGTAATATTATTCTCATGATTGAAAGAGCCCCTTAATACATGGAAGATACTGCATTTCAGGAGAGGATGATTATGCCTCTTCCCACAGTACTAGGAGATACACTGGTGCAGCACCAACTGTGAGCCTTATCCTAGAGAAGAGCTTGGTACCTAGCATTTCTTGTCCTTATAACACTTCAGGGAAGCACTTGTTCTTATTATCTTCCTCAGAGCCTAAGGAAACTGAAGTTCTAAGAAGTAAAATAACTTAGACACAATCACATTGCTAGTCAGTCGCAGGGTTGAGATTTGAATCTGAGTTAACAAGCTCCAAAGCCCCATACTTTTCACTGTTCTGTTTTACTTTCCAATACAGGCAAGACAGATTCCTCTAATAGGTAAGAGCAAATTTAGGAAAGGTCATACTTATGGGATATCTGTAAACTATGATTAGTAATGTTATTTTATTCTTTTTCCTTTTTAAAATATTTATTTATTTTGGCTGTGCCAGCTCTTAGTTGCAGCACGTGGGATCTTTTAGTTGCAGCATGTGGACTTCTCGGTTGTGGCATGCAGACTTCTTAGTTGCTGCATGCAAACTCTTAGCTGCGGCAGGCATGTGGGATCAGTTCCCTGACTGGGGTTTAAACCTGGGGCCCCTGAATTGGGAGAGCAGAGTCTTACTCACTGGACCACCAGGGAAGTCCCAATAATGTTATTTTATTTATTTTTTAATTTTTTTTTATTTTTTGTGGTACGTGGGCCTCTCACTGCTGTGGCCTCTCCCGCTGCAGAGCACAGGCTCCGGACGCACAGGCTCAGCGGCCATGGCTCACGGGTCCAGCTGCCCCGCGGCATGTGGGATCTTCCAGGACCGGGGCACGAACCCGCGTCCCCTGCATCGGCAGGCGGACTCTCAACCACTGCGCCACCAGGGAAGCCCAATAATGTTATTTGAGACATGCAAATATGTTACCAAACTCAGGTTCGGCTGCTTGCTGCTCAAAAGCCAATACTCAAGAGGCAACTGTTGGTAGAAAGGAAAGTTGCTTTAATCAGAAAACTGGGCAATCTGGGGAGAAGGTGGGCTCAACTCTGAAGACTCTGCTTGGCCATGAAAGTGT